ATACATACATTTATTTATTTGTATGTATATATATATATATAGTTAGTTATATATATATATAACTATATACACCGTAGTATTCCCAAAGTACCTATATCGTAGAACGTAGAATGTAGGGCTTCTATATTAGGAATTGCTATTATTATGATTTAGAGAAGTATCCCCCATAACAGTACATAGGACCCCTTGACCTTGGGTGTCCGGCACCGACTCCTCCACGCCGCTCCGCTGGAGGTTGCTGAGACTTCCCGGCAGCAAGCCCTGGCGGAGCTAAATCTCGAGGAGATCGACCAGGAGCCCATCAGCAAAAAATCCTAAAAGGTTGGTCTGTGTAACTCGTTTAGGGTTTAGGGTTTAGGGAGTCCGAGTCCAAACCCCTAAACCCTAAACCCCTGCCCTAAAACCCCGAAACCTCTAGCGTTTGGGGTTCGGGATTCGAGTTGGGCGTCTTCTCCGTCAACTATATTACAGCGCAGTTGTTGATGCGTAATGTAGACTGAATGTAGACCCTGGTTTCATAATTTCCTCCTCCTCAATAACAAGTCGTCTTGAATACGGATCCTCACATAAAAGCGCAGTTTCTGAAGCAGGTGTCTGCATCAATATTGAGGGAAGCGCCCAGAAATAGCGGAGTTGTTGGGGGTTGTCGGCTGCACTTTGGTCACAAGACGATCGTGATCTTCCCTAAACCCTAAACCCTAAAACCCGAAAGCCCTAAACTTGATCGCCACGACGATCGGGTCGGGGCCTAGGGACCTCGAGGATCTTGCCGGTGCAACATTAGAGTGTAGGGTTTAGGGTGTAGGATTTAGGGTTTAGGGTTTAGGGTTTAGGCTTTAGGGCAGTGAAGGGTTGAGGGTCTGGGGTTTAGGGTTTAGGGTCTAGGGGCTGTCAGTATGTGCCCTCAACCATCATATGATTGAAGCCTTGGGGCCCAGATCCTGGAAACACCCCAGCACAGTATGCCGGTCGTGCTGCAGGACGAGTTGCCTGAGCCCGAGCCTCACGAGTGCGCCCGGTGTCGGGGCGTAGGACGCCCTCGGCTTTTTTTTTTCGGGCTTAGTCTAGGACAGTTTCAGGTAGGCAGTTTCCGTTGTAGGAGCCTTATAGAAGGTCTATATACCTTATAGAAGCCTTATGGAAGCCCTATATGCCCCTAAACTCCCCACCTGTAGTTTCCTTTAGCTTAGGGAGTGCAGGGTATAAACGGTTGCGGGTTTAAACTGAGAGTTGGGAGCAGCAGCAGCGTTTCAGAGTTGGGTGTGGAGTGGCAGGCTGGCAATTCAGAAGCCCTTAAACCCTCAACTCCTAAACCCTAAACCCCTAAACCCCTAAACCCCCAAACCCCTAAACCCTAAACACTAAATTCAGGTTTGGGAGGTCTTTGCGTTGCGAGCTTGAGGGATCCTGGCCTTGGGTCTTGGTGCTGAAGGAATCGATAGGGTATGGGTAGTTCTCTAAATGAGGGTCCCGTTCTAGGTCCCAAATATAGTACGGCACCCTTGTGAGAAAGGACCCTAAAAGGGACCCTGATTTAGAGAACTACCCATATGCGTTCGCTACTTGTAAGAACCTTAAGTTACTGAGGCTCCAGATCAATGGGATTCATTAGCAGCGAGAGCAATCGCACAGCCCTTGCCAATGCCTCTCAACGCGTGACCGCTTAACCCTAAACCCTAAACCGCAAACCCCTAAACCGTAAACCCTAAACCCTAAACCCTAAATGCTTAAGAGAAGCTTCCCTTTGAGGAACCGGGACCTCGCGACAGGTACTGTCCCCCCCTGAATTCGGTTCATCTTGCCCTGTCTCTGAGTCGGGAGCCCCAGCCCAGGAGTGCGAGCCTCAACTAGGTCTCTAAAGGAACTTCGGGTTGAGGGTTTAGGGTTTCTAAAGGAGCCCCTGGGGGGTTTAGGGTTTTAGGGTTCAGGGCTTTAGGGTTGTAGGGTGTTGGGGTTTAGGGTTTTAGGGTTTAGGGTTTAGGCTCAGGGGTCTAGGGGTTTGGGGCTTTTGGGTTCAGGGGATCACAGAAGTTGAGGCTCAGAATGTTGAAGGCTTTTCAGAATCTGACCCAAGGCGGTCGGGCTTCGCGCTGAGGGGGGCTTAGGACAGCAGCCGAATGGGGCTTGCTTTCCTAAAAGCCCCAAGCCGTGACCCTAACCGGGTAAAAACGTACTGATTGCACAGCCCCAAACAAAGACGGAGAATACTCCTACAAAGCCCCGACGAAGGGCGAAAGCGGCTGTTATAAGCCCCACTAAGAGCCTCTAACGTCGCATGGAGTTCTTTGGGGTGTCAGACTTCAGGCTACAAGGGCTCGAGATCGCAGCCTCCAGCTTTCGGGGGCTCCGGGGGCGGCGGGTGCTGTAAAGGTTCGGGCTATGGAGCCACTTGCTGGTTCTTGGTCACGACTTGCGGCTAGAAGTCCTGCACCTCGAACCCTTCCATCGCAAGCTGGCTACCACGTAAGGACAAGATCGGAAGCCCAACACCCAAACTTTTCGACCCCAAACCCTGCAAACCCCTCAACCTCTCACACGCCCGAAGCCTCAGAAACCCTTCAGCTTCTAAACAGCGAAAGCTTCTCAAGTCATGTAGACAGTTTAGGGAAGTTTAGGGTTTTAGGGGTTTAGGGTTTAGGGTTTACTTTTGCTAACTTATGATCCATTATGTAACCCGCATTACAGCAGAGTCAAGACTCGCAGATGGCTCGAGGTCATGCTCTCGCGGCCAAGGCTGTTGATTTTGATGGGCTGAGCCGCGGAATTGGTCAGGGCTTATGTTCTCGATTTAAGGTTTGGGGGTTTGCGTTGGTTTCTTCTTACTACTTGTATGGACTTTGAGCACTACTGCCGAGCCCACCAAGACCGCGAACTGTTAATGTAGTTCATCACTACAGCTGCTTTAGTTATAGGATTATGCAGACCTGACTTGGGGTGATGAGTAATAATTCACTCATTACTGCCTTTATTTCTGAGTTTCATATGAGATGATCCAGCTTGGCCGTATATGCCGTAACGGTCCAGTTAGGCCCAACTACCGCAGGTGGCACGGCTTTCAAGATTAAGGGCCTTGAGGATCGGATCCTTCGACGTGTAGGGCATACTCCCAGCACTATCCAGGATCCAGTCGAGACCGAGAACTGAGGGAAGGTTTAGGGGTTTAGGGTTTTGGGTTTTGGGTTTAGGGATCATCCTTGAAAGAGCTAATCTCCGTCAGCTCCACCTAAGCATGCTCATACCTCACGAAAGCCACAAGAGAAGAAGGACCGTCTCCTTGGATAAACGACCCCCGGGAAGCCCTGCACTGAAGCCGTGGGTTTCTTAAAGCCCTCGAAACCCTAAGCCCCAATCTCCAAGCCCTAAACCCTCAACCCCAAACCCTAAACCCCAAGAAAGAAACCCTAAACCCCAAACCCTAAACCCCAAGTAATAAACCCTAAACCCTAAACCCCAAGGAAAGCCCTAAACCCTTAAGAGCCCCGAGCTGCATCTGCGACTTGCCAGTGCAGGTGGGCGCTGGAAACTTCGAGGATGGGGAGGACTTCGTGGGAACGTTGAGCTCTCTGAGGCGCCTGGCCGAAGGTAGGGGTTTCGGGTTTCGGGTTTAGGGTTTCGGGGTTTAGGGGTTTAGGGGTTTCGGGTTTAGGGTTTAGGGTTTCGGGTTTAGGGGTTTAGGGGTGTCGGGTTTAGGGGTGTCGGGTTTCGGGGTGTCGGGTTTAGGGTTTAGGAAATCAGGGTTTCGGGTTAAGGGTTTAGAGACCTTAACTCCTAAACCCTAGAGACTTAGAGCAAATCCCAGAAAGTTGGAGCATGGATCCGAGATGAGTGGTGCTGGGATTCCCTTTGCTTCAGCTTCATGCCATGAGGATGGTCATGTTTTTAGCGACCTTTAACCCTGAGCCCTGAACCGGAAGCCCCAAGCCCTAAACCCTAAACATCCCTAAACCCTCGAAGCCATAAGCACTAGACTTCACCCTAAGCCCTAGAAATTATACACACTAAACTTATTAAACTTACTACCCTGGACCCTAAACCTCAAAGCCCCAACCCTCTAAATCCGGATGCCTTGCTCTTGCTCGTATACATTGCACCGCGATGGCTGGTGCCGTGGAGATGGTGGACCAGCTCGTTGAGTTCCAGGCGCGCGTGGGTAATATAGGGGCCTAAACTACGGTTGATGATATAAATCTTGCATCACTCTATAGTAGGGAGTATACCATAATTCCCATAGTTTAGGGTCCTTAGGGTAATGCAGGATTTATATCATCAACAGCATTACCTTTACTGTTTTGGGGTTCCTTATGATCATTATAGTATAATGGACCCCAAAACCCTATTCTAATCATTAAGGTCTCTATGTTATATGTTAGGCTTTTGTTGGTGCAGCTAGGGCCCCTTATGATATGGAGCGTGCACTTCTGATTTGGTGTGGGGATATACCGGAATCGATCAGCCCTACTAGGTAGTTGCAGGCAGTTGTCTTCGCATGTGGGGTCCTTTTCGGTGTTGTGTTCGGGATGCTGGCCAGAAAACAACAACCCATGGTAGACCCTAAAACCCAAACCCTAAATCCTGAATTTCCCGGAAACAGCCTAAATTCAGGTGACGCTACGACGGGAGGGAGCGCATGAGAGGGAGATGCGCAGCATCCGATGCTTCCCCAAGTACGAGGATCTGCGCTCCGAAGCTCTGAGGCGCTTTCGCGAGGCTTCCCAGATACTGGAGTACAAGACGTAGGCCCTAAACCCTATTCCCCTAAATCCTAAACCCTTAATCCCTAAATCCTAAACCCTAAACCCTATTCCCCTAAATCCTAAACCCCTAATCCCTAAACTCTAAACCATCCTAAGCCCTAAATCCTAAACCCTAAACCCCTAACCCTATTCCCCTAAATCCTAAGCTGCTTCCTTTTTGACTCTTGCTTCTTCTTTCTTGGAACCACCATGTAAGATGGAAGTTTGCAGTTTTATTTTCGATTGCGGCAGAATCCCTTGAACCCTAAACCGTTTAGCCTAAACCCCAAGCCCTAAACTAAATCCAGGCCCTCATGACCCGCGGGGTGGACGAAACCACCGTGGTTCTTCGCTGGAGGGACCAGGACGGGCTTCAGTTCACCATCCACGGTCAAGAGGAGCTAAGACAAGCGATGAAGGATGCTGAGCTGAATTCTTCATAGGCATCGGGCTTGTTTTTGTGTCTATACATACATACATACATACATACATACATACATACATACATACATACATACATACATACATACATACATACATATATATATACACACACACACATATATATATACATAATATAATTTAAGAATATCATTGATATACGCATACAGGCAGTCTGTACATGCATGCGTGCATACATTCATATCTACAAACACATATGTAGATATATATATATATACACACAGACAGAAAAGATAAGCATATATATATACAGAAAGATAGATAGATATATAGATAGACACATAGATACATAGATAGATAGATAGATAGATAGATAGACAGATAAATAGATAGTTAGATAGATCGGTGGATAGATAGGTAGATAGATGTATAGATAGGTCGATAGCTAGATCGATCGGTAGATAGATTGATGGATAGATAGATGAATCGGTCGATAGATTGATAGATAGATAGCTACATAGATAGATACACAGACGCGTGTTAAATTTGGTGTACATACATACATACATACATACATACATACATACATACATACACACATACATACATACATACATACATACATACATATCTACATATATATATATACACACACATGCACACACAAAAACGCTGCATTTCTTATTATAACAAATTTCTGAAAGTTTCTCAACATGAACCCAGGACGCGGTGGACGACTGCGGGATGGTTCATTTGGACTTCCTCTTGCAGGTGCAGCCAGCAAGCCGGGAGCAGAGGACCTGCCGGGTGTGTGCGGCGCTCTTCACGTCGCGGAACCAGCTCTTTCAACACTTGAAGGAGAGTGTTGCGGGTTTAGGGTTTCGGGCTCTAAACATGGTGCTAGAGTCTAGAGCCTACTTCAATATCTGGACTACGAATCTGTGGTCCCAAAGAGAGCACCAAGAAGGACAGTGGTCACGACGACGCCAGCGATCAAGAGCCAGAGGCGAAAGTACCGCCGCTGCATGAAACATTGGAACCTGGCCAGAACACTCCGGGCTTTCCGACGGAGTTCGGGAATCAGACGCTGCACTCCTACTACGTGCCTTACCTTAAGGACGAAAAGAGCCCAAAAAGGGTATAGCCATATAGGGATTCATAGTATAAGGGTAAGGGCCCCTACGTTTAAGAGTCATTTGGTCCTAAAGGTAGACATCGAAGCGAGCTCAGGGTCGACGTCCCAGAACGGGTTAATGTTCCACGATATAAAAAAGGACTTGAGGGTTCGTATCGCATGCACCGTCCATATAGAAACATCAACCTTTAATGACTATATATACACATGTATATGTATGTACATTCATACATAATTACATACACGCATGCATGCATGCATCCATTAATATACCCAAGTGTGCTTTGTTGAATGCTACTTGGTCCTTGAGGCCTGCCAGCACATTGCGACGCAGCCGGTCTGGGAGCAGGCCTATGAATAAAGACGATTCACAAGATAAGCCTAGTAGTAGAGTAGGTAACCTTTAACCTTTTTGGGGTACTATAGCTTGAATATTTTTGGGGTTCTACAGCCGGCTATAACCCCTATATAGTCCCAAAGGTTAAGCTTTAAATCCCTTCGGATGCTGGACAAGTAGGTAGAGGAAGATGGTAATTATAATATAATCTGTAAGCATGCTTCTTGTAATGTAACCTAACAACACTCGCAAGGAACCCTATTCTGATTATTCGGTCCTTGCAGTACCCTAAACCCTAAACCCCGAAATCCTAAATCCTAAACCCTAAACCCTAAACCCTAAACCCTAAACCCCTCAACCCTAAACCCTAAAGCCAGTAGATCAGGCCTATGAGGCCTTGAAGAAGCCCCTGCCCCTTGTGGTGCGCATCTCGAGCTCCGAGAGTGGCATGGCAGTGGAGTCGAGGCTGTTGGAGATGACGGAAGCGCAAGCACTGCCACTGGGTTTCATGTTAAGGTTTAGGGTTTAGGGTTTAGGTTTTAGGGTTTAGGGTCTAGGGTTAGGGTTTAGGTTTCATGTTAAGGACTTGAACTGAGGCTACGTGACAGTAATCAGGATAGATTGTGAATGGTTTGCTTTCCGCACTTGGTCAAGTTGCCATAATCGGCATATGCAACAACAAAATTGCTTTCCTATTGAGCTATCGTAAGACCAGGAGCTTGGCAAGACACCCTCAAACCCGAAGCCGTAAAGCACAAAACCCTGAAATGCCAAATCCTATGAACCCCAAACCCTAAGCTAAAACCCCCTAAGCCCCAAAACCTGACACCCTAAACTTTAGGCCCCAATCCCTTAACTCCGAAACCCAGGCCACTTCTGTCGCACTGCTGGATGCTGCCGTCTCGCTTGGACTCCGAGGCCAGTGCCTTCTTGGCTGCTGCTCAGGAGATGCTGGGTTGTTACACTTTGGCATATTTAGGGTTTATAGGGTTTATAGGGTTTTTAGGGTGTTTAGGGTTTATAGGGGTTATAGGGTTTATAGGGTTTATAGGGTTTATAGGGTTTAGGGTTTAGCATCAAACAGTAGCAGTAGTAGCAGTAGCAACAGTGGTAGTAGTGGTGGTAAAAGTAGTAGTGGTGGTAGTGGTCGTGGTGGTGATAGAAGAAAAAGTAGTAGTGGTAGTAGTGTTGGTAGCAGGAGTAGTAGTAGTAGTAGTAGTAGTAGTAGTAGTAGTGGTAGTAGTAGTAGTAGTAGTAGTAGTAGTAGATGGTGCTACTAATGGTAGTACTACTACTACTACTACTACTACTACTACTAGTACTACTACTACTAGTACTACTACTACTACTACTACTACTACTAGTACTACTACTACTACTACCACTACGATGACTGCTAGGACTGATAGTCGCAACCATAGTAACAAGAATGATCGCATTTACCATCTTAATGACTTAAATGTAGTAGCGAACATCAAGTCACAGTAAAATCAAGCTAACAATAAAACAAATCATAGCCATAAGAATAGAAATATTAATGCTCGTAGATCAAGAATGTTAAACATATGAAAACCAATCGTGGCAATCATACTTGTGGCAATAAGACTAGCTTCTGATTGCTAAATGGTCATATTGCTCTTTGATAGTCGCCCTTACATTAGTCATGCATGTTAGTACATTTCTACGATTCTCAGCCGCTGTCTTTTCTCTTTCTCCTGTTTCTTCGTCGGGACAGCCGTGAAACAATAGACGTTTAGATAGTTGTTCTGGTTGGTTATTTCCAAACCCAGAACCCTAAACCCTTAAACCCCCTAAAGCCCTAAACCTCTAAACCCCTAAACCCCTAAAAATCCTATAAACCCTATAAACCCCCTAAACGCCTAAACCCAACAAAACCCTATATAAACCCTAAACCCAGGATTGGCGCGCTCCACCGCCAGGAGTGGGCCAGCACTCTGCCAGTCCTTGCTCTCGACGTGGGTAGTGAGGACTGTGGATTTGGGGTCTCAGGGTTTTAGGGTGTAGGGTTTTGGGTTTAGGGTTTAGGGTGCAGGGTTTAGGGTTTAGGGTCTAGGGTTTTAGGGTTTAGGGTTTAGGGTCTTAGGGTGTAAGGTTTAGGGTTAAACCCTAAACCCTGATAGAACCCTCCACCTGAAAGCCTGATAGAACCCTAAACCCTAAACACTGATAGAACCCGAAACCCTAAACCGGCGTTTGTGGACGTAGTCGTCTTTTGGTCTCAGGTCTAGGACATTTTCAGGTGGGTAGTTACAGGTATAGGAGCCTTATAGAGGGTCGATATACCTTATAGAAGCCTTATAGAAGCCCTATATACCCTAAACTCCCCACCTGCAGTTTCCTTTAATCAGGGTTCTGAGTTGATGACTTCGGCTCCTGGCGTCGGGTTTATGGTTCTGGGCTTAGGCTTAACATGCAGGGCCTCGGATTTAGGGGCTTTTGGGGGTTTGGGGTTTAGGGTTTAGGTCTACTTTTCGGGTTTAGGGTTTTAGGGTCTTGGGGTTTAGGGTTACTTTTCGGGTTTAGGATTTTAGGTTTTTTCGGGTTTTGGGGTTTTGGGGTTTCGGGTTTAGTTTTTAGGTAGCTGGGGTCTGGAGCTCAGAGCGTGGGTTCTCGGGAACAAGGACTCCGTGCTCGACCTTTGTGCGTCGCCAGGGTCCAAGACCTTGCAAATTTTGGACATCATGACGAGCACCTAGGACATTTTTGCTGTTCTTGGGGTTTAGGGTTTAGG